ACGGTGACTCTCTTTTGTCCAGGAGGGTGTGGCTGTGTTCTGCTCTTCTTACTGTTTGTGCTGTTTCATTCCGACGGAGGGAAGCCGAGGAAAATGTCTTTTTTGCGTCTATTCTATATCGTCGGGATCATATGTTGCTGTCTCATTACTACCTGTTGCGGGCAAGGTAAAATTACTATACTTTATACAAGAAACAAATTTATAAATAAAAAAAGTTGGTAGGTATGTCAAGCTTCCCTGCTCCAGCATTGGAATGCGGGGCATAAACGCTTCTTTTTATCTTAAAAATCAACAGTTTGCATTATGCAATTAGAAATCCCAACCAATAATGTAAGGGAAAGCAATCCAACTGTTGTCACATCATACTATAGTTATATCAATGTAAAGAATTGTTTTCCTTGTATTTCTCCTTATTTCCCTGCCATGTCTTGAAATGTGGTGAAGTCATGCTGAATTTGCTCCAAAGCAAATGTCGCCCTTTCTAGTTTTTTTTTGTATTTTTGTATTAGACGGTTCCACTACCGATTCCCAGTCTGATGATTCCAGTCTCTCCAGTGATAACTACGAGGACGATCCTTCAGATCAAAGTAAGTTGTGTGTGTATGTTTGTGTGTGCTTGTTTGTGTGTGTGTGTTTGTCTGTGTGGTATTGTCTTCACAAAAATACATTCTATTTTTTTGTATTAGACGGTTCCACTACCGATTCCCAGTCGGATGATTCCAGTCTCTCCAGCGATAACTACGAGGACGATCCTTCAGATCAAAGTAAGTTGTGTGTGTTTGTGTGTGCGTGCGGTATTGTTTTCACAGAAATACATGTCTAATTTTTTTGAAATTTTGTATTAGATGGTTTCACCACCGATTCCCAGTCTAATGATTCCAGTCCCTTAATCCATAACTACGAGGACGATCTTTCAGATCAAAGTGAGTTGTGTGTGTGTGTTTGTATGTGTGTGTGTGTTTGTCTGTGTAGTATTGTCTTCACAAAAATACATTCTATTTTTTTGTATTAGACGGTTTCGTCTGGTATTGTCTTTACAACTTTTTGTATTTTTGTACTAGACGATTCCGCCACCAATTCCCAGTCTGAACCAAAAAATTGCTGACGACACTGGAATAATCAAAGTGTGTTTGTGTGTGTGTGTGTTTATGTGTGTGTGTTTATGTATGTGTGTGTGTGTTTATGTGTGTGTGTGTTTATGTATATGTGTGTGTTTATGTGTGTGTGTGTGTTTATGTGTGTGTGTGTGTGTTTATGTGTGTGTGTGTGTTTATGTGTGTGTGTGTGTGTGTAATATATTCTACCATTTTATTTATTGTACGGTCCCATCACCGATCCTCATTATGATGATTCCAGTCCTTTCATCAATTATTTTGTGGACGATTCCTTATGTGAGTTGCGGAAAATATTAAGAGTTGACTACATTTTACAAATAAACTTCCAATCCGACTATTAAAAGATCAGTATGTACCAGAGTGTTGCAGCATGCAGGATACCATTTGTAAACCCTGACCTTGGAATGGCGTAGCTGTCTCTATGGTCGTCTTTTGATGGCGATCATATATTATTTAGGGTAATCTTTAAGCATTGTAAAAAGCCGCCGTCACGGTGTGCCGGGTTACAATACGCATTTTTGGCTAGCTGTGAACCATTTGAAAATAATCAAATGGTATTGAAATAGAAAAATTGCGTCAAAATAAAATGAATTCAAACAAGTAGTCATAGGCGACAATTCTCCGTGAAGTTTTTATATTTTCCAGACTGGGAATAGTATAGTGCATGTAAACAGTGTGTTAGCACTTCACAACTGGTAACAACGTATCGTAAAATTGGCTAAAATAAAATGTCTGGTCAAACACATAAGATCGCGCTCGTAGCGGCCGCCTCCTTTGCGGTGGGGGTCATAAACCCCTGCCGAGAGTTTGTATAAATGCAGGCTACATAGATCAACAACATGATAAATTACTAAACTTTATTTATTTATTTAATTTTATTTAATCTTCAAAGACACCTGGGTAGCTCCTTCAGCCAAAGCTGATTTCCAAGGAGGCCCAGGGGGGGGTACAATAAGTAAAAGAATAATAAATTATACAAAGTACATAACAAAAGATGTAAATGAAATCAATATAACTGGAAGTTATACATAAATAAATGAATAATACGAAGTTCAACATAAACTGAGGGAATTTACAAGAAAACATAACTTTGAATCATAATCAACGTAAATCGATTTCCGTTCAAAATGATTGGAGGTCAGAGGTCGTCTTTAAAGCTGCCTTGAAGTGTTTTAAAGTTTGAATCTGCTGGTAGTCTATTGAAGTACTTTGCACCCGTGTAAGCGAAGGCTTGCTGACCAGTTGAGGTTTTGTATTTTGGTAAGTGTAGTTTAGTAGTCTGTCTGCTGTGATATGTATGAAGATTATAATTGTGCAAGAAAGTAGAGGATAGGTATGTGGGCATCAGGCCATTCAGACATTTAAATACTGTTACACACACATGTTAAAATCTTCTTTCAGTCAGGTGTTTCCAGTTTAGCATCTGGTGGAGGCTGTCAGTGCTGCTCTCACGTAGTCTTCTTTGCAGCACTACTCTGGCAGCTCTGTTCTGTAGAATTTGTAGCTGCCTCTGTTTGAGGGCTCCACATCCCTCCCACACCGTGTCGCAATAATCGAAGATGGGCAATATCATGGTTTTATACAACATATCAGCAATGTTAAGGGTTAGGCAAGGTCTAAGGCGTTTCATTAGCCCAATTCTCTGTGCTACCTTGCCACAAACCTTGTCTACATGTTAATTAAATGATAGATTACAATCAAGATAAACACCAAGATATTTGAATGTTTTTACTCTGTCTATGCTCTCCTGGTCAATGCAAAGTTTCAGAGAAGGTGCAAGTTTTAATCTATTGGCAGTACCAAATAGCATCCATTTAGTTTTGGATTTGTTTAGCGTTAAACGGTTTGTTTGGAACCACCTAGCTAGACCAGAAAGTTCAGAGTTGAGAGTTTGCTCGATGTGTTTTGCATTGTTGCTGGCACAGAAAATTGCTGTATCATCCGCATACAGACAGACTTTACATGCAGTGACAATATCAGATAAGTCATTTATAAATATATTGAACAGCAAAGGGCCTAATATAGACTCTTGGGGAACACCTAGAGTGACAGGTACGTATTCTGATGTACACCCGTTCAAAGAGACAACTTGTTGTCTCCCTGACAGGTAGTTTGCAAACCAATGGAATTCAGCACCTTGCACTCCCATCCAGGACAGCTTGGTTAACAGTAGTTTGTAGTCAACAGTGTCAAAAGCCTTCTTAAGGTCCAGATATACCACTCCCACCAAACTACCCCTCTCCATGTTATGTAGTATATAGTCTTTAGCGTCTAATAGGGTTGATTCTGTAGAGTGCCCTTTTCTAAAACCAGACTGTTGGATGGACAGAATACGGATGAACAAAGTCTTCTTTCATAACATTATCTTTTTTTTTACTGCATATCATTACCTTCATGACATCTGAAAATGGTCTCTTATAATTCTACATATTCGCAGTGAAAAATTTAAAATTTGTCAGTTTTGATAGCTATCATGATTCGGAAAAGGTATGTCCATGCCAAATGATGAAGATTTCACCAGTGCGTTGCACGTTACTGGGTAGGGGCTTTGTGAATAATTTGTTTAACCCTATCTAGACCGGGCTTTTTTGGGCTTGGTGGGACCGAGGTGGGGCTTATTTGACCCCCCCCCCCCACGATAACTCGCGAATGGTATGTCGTATGACCACCAAATTTTCAGATGGTGTACTAGTCAAAACTTATCATATATACAATTTTCATTATGACGTCGTTATTACGTTAATACGTCATTATGACGCCATTAATGTGATTTTATTGGCCAAAACCGTCTAGATAGGTTATTCCCTGAAAACTAAATGGTGTACAACATAATTTTACCAAAAGTGTTTATGACAGAATATTAGGATGTACTAAGTCTTATGTTGCCCAAAGCAACACCGGTGACGTCATAAGGTAACGTCATGCATATTTAATATATCCGCCATCTCGGATCATTAATCTTAAATGTTCATAAATATTTTTTTTTCCTGATAAAACCTAAAATACGTTGTAAACATACTAAAGATTTTCATTTAAACCTTTTTTTGAAAAAGAAATGGAAGTATTGATGAAATTTTAAGGAAAATAACTTGCATATACCTGTTCTAATGATATGGTCCGCCATCATGCATTTTGGCCAATAACGTCATCAAATTAGCATGAATTTTGCATATTTAATGATAAAATTCACATGAAATTGTAAAGGATGTTATTGATATTAGAAACCATGAGTAACCTGACAGAAGACCCATAAAATTCTATTGTTGAAACAAAAATGACTAAATTTTTCAAAATATGCCTATCAGAAACCCGTTGCCATGGCAACACAAAAATTATTATCTTATTCCAATGATAGAGAATTGTTGCCAACAATATTCTAGGAAAAGTCACCAAGTTCGCCGTTCTACGGCTAGCCGTTCAGACGCTAGGTGACATCAAAGTTGGCGCGAGCACTTTTAGCCCCCCCCCCCCCCGTCTAGGTAGGGTTAAAGAAAGTCTGTTTGCGAGGAACCACTGTACTAACCGGGTAGAATCGTTCTGGAGTGTGTCTTGTATTGTCTGTGTGCTACGGTGTGAAAAGTATAGAATCGTATCGTCTGCATACATAGTGACCTTGCATGACTATATACAGTTGGGGAGGTCGTTTATGTATACGATAAAAAGGAGGGGCCCAAGAATGGACCCCTGCGGAACGCCACAGGTCACATTAGATGCTTTTGACAGGACTGAGTTAAGACACGTGCGCTGCAGCTTGCCAGTCGAGTAAGAGTTGAACCATCTACATGACATTTCATCTTTACATACACTATTACTGTTCTCAATCTGCAAAGTATAGAAATTCACGGATAATTGTCGCCTATGGACACTTTTTTTCTCATCAATTAGTACCACAAACCAATGCAACTGGATGTGGAGGTATCCTGACGACTCCCTCTGGAGGTTCTGTGACATCACCTAATTTCCCCAGTAACTATGGCAACAATGAGAAGTGCGAGTGGTTGATCACTGTACCAGAAGGAAACATCCGTCTTACCTTCAACAGTTTCGACATTGAGATGGACTATGACTTCCTATTTATCTACGATGGAGCCAATGATGGCGCTGAATTGATACAATGGTAATGTTTCCAACACAGAAACAAGAATTCCAAGATTTCATACCTCCATGAAATATGTAGAGTTTATGTAAATGTTTTGTTTCATTGAATATGGAAATAAGGTGGCAATTGATATAATGTAGTTTAATTTATGGTGTTCTAAACTCAACTTACAATATTTTGCGTGTCAAACTCCTATCCTTTTGGCAATATTTCACTTAACCCTAAACAGTACACCTGGGGTCCGCGCGGACCCCAGCACTATATATGGTGTAATATTTTTCTTCTTTGTAAAGAATTTTTTCTGAAATTTCAGGTAATTGTCACCCAAAAAGTTGTCCCTCAATACAGTGCAAAAAACTCAGTTTCCCCCATTCTTAAGAATTTTTATGTCTAATTTTCTTTTAGGGCCCGCGCGGACCCCAGCCGGCTTTCGATCGTAATGGATACACTGGCGTTCTTATACATGACTTTATTTCCATTTTAATATGTTTTTATGCACTTACCGTATGGCCACCAAATTTTCAGAGAAAGGTGTACTAATAGAATTAAATTCTAACAATTTTAGTGTAATTATGACGTCATATGACGTCAGAGCTAATAATGTGGTCCGCCATCTTTTTGACCAATGACGTCATCAAATTAGCATACATTATAAATGTTAAATGATTTAACTTATCTTACTTAAATTATGTAAGATGTTATTAATGTCAAAAAGGAAGTGTTATTGAATATAAATCCCTGAAAATTTTAAAGTTTAAAACAAATACTAATTTAAAAAAACTGCCTGTCAGAAAGCCGTTGCCATGGCAACACAAAAAATCATTAACTTATTTAACTAATATGAATTTTTTCCCAGATGCATTTTAGGAAAGGTCACCAAATTTGATGGCTCTAGCTTAAGCCATTCAGGCGCTATCTGAGATTAAAGTTGGCGCGAGCCTAAAAAAAAAACACTCGGTCTGAATACAGTGTAAAAATGGGGTTTTTCTTCTTTTTGTCTTTTCTTCGCCAAAGAATAGAAAAGGTCAAAATGTATGATTTTTGTACGTGATTTGGACTCAGAGGTTCACATATCAATTTGCAAAACAACTGAGCTGGTATCATGTTGATAATTTCTAAAAATTAGCAAAAAACTGCTTTGGGGTCCGCGCGGACCCCAGGTGTACAGATTAATCAGTCCGGGAAGGTGTACTGTTGAGGGTTAAACATCCTCATTTAAACTTCCTCATTAATTGCCTATATTAACATAATATATGCATAGTGTTGTTAACATTTAAGTAACCTACATATGTCACAAGGTACAGAATTGCCATTATTCACCATTAAGAAATCATATAATTTTCGCAATAATTATGCAAATTAGGTCCCAATTTACATAATTGGTATCTGTTGACGTTCTGTCTGCCATAGATTACATATATTACATGTTTGAAAGTACTATAATGTAATTATAGAACTTCCTTATTAATTATGCAAATTAGCTCCTCATTTGCATAATTTGCATTTAATTGTGTACATCTCTCTCTCTCTCAGCTACCTACCTACAAAAAATGATGAAAATATGTCGTTCCTTTTTGGACTTATTGGCTTTTGATGATTTCGCCCGAAAGTCCACTGCAGTTCCAGAACAAGCTGGTAGGGGGACCAAACCCACACCACTTATTTCTTATTTCAGGAAAAGCTATCTGTCACCAAAAAGTCAAGACCATAGCATGTTCAGGACAAAAGATACAAAAACCGGAAGTTCTGCTGCAGTACCAAGGTCATCCACCAGGAGGCCCATATTTGACCTTGACCTTCGTCTTTCTAAGACTTACCATGTACCAACATACCAAATATCATCACAATCCATAAAGGCGTTCTGAAGTTATGATGACTACAAAGTCGCGGAAACACACACAGACACACACACAGACACACACACAGACAGACACGCCAAAAACAATACCTCTATTTTTCATGGAGGTAATAACACATTGTATATCAATCACAGTCTTTAACATACAACTTGTAGTAAAGGCAATGGCCAATATCGGTTTGATATGTTTTCAATTTATTCTAGCTACATGTAGGTAAAAAAAAGGAAACGGATGTAAAGGATACAATGTAATATACTGTATGTCTCACATATATTGTTAATTTCTTGATGCACAGGTTATCAGGTCAATTGTGGCAGATCAGCCCAGTCATCATCAGCACATCTAACAAGATGTTCCTGAGGTTTACATCTGACTATATTGTCACCCGTCAGGGGTTCGAGTTCTCCTACATGAGTAAGGTCTTTTTTTAAATTTATAAAACCACACACAGTAACTATTGTATCTCTTAGTGTTGGGTTTGATTTACTTTATTTTTTTGCCGGGGCGTGCCCCGGCTTAGTGCCCGGTTTAATGGCACGGTCAGTCAGTGTTTGGTAGGTTCGATGGTTGAAAGCAATGCAGAAGCCATTTATACTGACTGCTATGCCATGCCATGTGGTTTTCGATAAATACAGCACTTAAATAAGATGACTCCACAATAAATTCACATTCATATTGTCATATACATACAAGTAGCGCAGTGCATTAAGTCACTGCCATCACATGAAAATTTCGTTTCTGAATAGATTATGTATATATAAGATGCGGATCATGCCATTCGAACCAAGGGGTGTACTACCGTTGCTTTTTTACACTATCGTACAAGTTGAAAAGATAGCGATCTTGGATTCGAATATATTAATTAAAACCCTAGTCCTGCGGCCGCCGAGATATCTCGGTTGTCCCATGTGTTCCCTGTATGCGGAAACCGAGATATCTCGGTTTTCTGGTATCCCATACATCGACGCGTCACACTCCCGCGTACCGCGCGAACACGGAAGTAACTTCACCCGTGCCGAGTGCCGAGGGGTCAAGGGTCAACATGACATTACGCAACATCCCAGTGACGTCATCCCATGAGCCTTTGCGCGCTATATTATGCAAATATGGCGTCGTCGTCTGCGTGCTTTCTTTGTTATGTTGTTTACTGTGTTTGAGGCGGTAAATTTGCCGTGTAAGCGCCAAAATAGAACGGATAATGATTGAACAGGTTCGCGAAGAGTTATTTACGAACGATTCTGGCCAAAAATATCCCACTTTGGACGAAGATTATCTAGAAATTAATAGTCTGGTGGCAGAGACCGATAAGCGTGCAATGCGGTCCATACAAAGTTTTTTTGTTGTTTCTATATCTCTGAGGTGTGCTCTTTCAGAATCTGAATGATGCCACTCTGTCATCCTTGGGCAATTTGCACAATATGCAAATTAAGGTGGCCATTACTGAAAATCCAGTTTTCGTCAATATCTCAGTAACTACTCATGGTATCAGAATAATTTTGGTGTCTATCCCCATCTTTTGAGGGATAACGAATTAAATCAAGCCATTTCAGTAAAGATAGAACCACTATTTTTTGCTAAATATGCAAATTTGGGCCGCGCAATATGCAAATTAGGGCGGCCATTACTGAAAATCTGTTTTTCGTCAATATCTCAATAAATCTCATGGTATCAACAATAATTTTTATACAATACACATACATTTGTACTATACACATGTTTTGAAGGCTAGATATTTAGAATAAACCATCCCAGTATTGATCACACCAAAATTTAATGCAAATTATGCAAAAACTAACCAGTATATAGCATGGGCGCATGTACCTCTGAACACTGATAGGAATGTTAATAAATGATACAATCTGTTCAAAAAATATTAGACCCTTCATAAGCTCACACCTGTGCCTTACCAGCGTCTGTGTACAGGCAGAATAAAGCGCTAACTTGACGTCCTGAATTTTATGTCAGCGTGGCCCGCGTAGAATCTAAGTTGAATTCTTCTTGAGTCCCGGACAGGCCAAAGAAAAATAGCCCGGTAGCCGCGGGGTGTCGCACGGCTGAAAGTGTCAAAAACAGCCCGGGAACTACCCGCCAGGGACTTTTTTTTTACAATTGGGACAAAAGCTTAACAGATCTCCAGGAAGATGACCGGCGGCCGCTCAAAAGTGCACAGGCCTAATTAAGGCGGAGGATGGGACCCTACCACTGTCTTAGGGGGAGGACAAGCTTGTCAGGTGGGCAGAATACTTTTCAAAAAGTCTTAAACCGCTCAAGCCATACCTCAGTAGCATTAGTCTTTGATGAACACCTACACCCATTACCTGTTGAGATCGAGGACATCTCTGAAGCTGAAGTCAGTCACCAGGCATGAATGGCATCACTTCAGAGATGCTGAAAGCCGAGGGTGACTGTGTTGTGAGATGGATGCTTTTCTGATCGCCGTACATCGCAAACGCTTTAATAGAACCATAGCCGTCTTCCCTAGTACGCCTTCCCTGGAATAAAGCTGGCATTCAACGACGATCACAGGGAAGTGCTGGAGGACTGGAAGAACGGATCAGTAGTTAAGCTGGAGTCACATGTGAAACGGGGCCTGCTCGGCATGTTCTCGGTGTAGACGCCGGCCGGCGTCATGAAGCCGAGCGTACGGCGGCTGTCAGGGTCACAATTGAATTTTCCTTTACGGCTCCCTGTCGGGGCGCTGAGGCGGCTTCTATGTAAAATTCACAAAATTTTGGTCCCGGTGCACAGTCAGTCTTCTGTCAGACCTGTGCGGGATGCAATAGGGTGCCGACTAGCTCTTGCATTCCGGCCGGGTAGCTACAGGGTCCCTGGCGGGGTCAAGGGGCGATCCTGGCAGGTCCCAGGCTGGTACGCCTGTGGCTGGTATGGTGGGTTCGGCCCTGCCGGTTGATGCGCAGACCCGTGTATGGTCACTATGACTGACTGATGATGTAACTATGTCGAGAACAGCACATTACCTATACCCTCTATATTGTCTATAACTACCTTCTTCTGAACAATTCAAGCACAGAACAACACACGTGACTTCATAATCTTGGACAGGTGCCTGTGCATGACCCGGCGGCTAGGTTACGGTTTGGTCCGGTGAGGTTACGGGGTCGCTTCGGCGTACCTTGCCCGCCGGGGCCTGAAGTGACTTTAAGTTGAGTCAAATCAATTTGGCGACGTCGCGGGACCAAAAAAATAGGCCGGCAGCCGTCGGGAACCCCGCCTATTGCCTTCCAGGTCCCGTTCCGAATTCGGTAGTGCCAAAACACAGGCCAAAAACAAGCCGAGCGGGCCCCTTTCTTGAATTGTGACATACCATTAGGCTTAAAGTGTATATTCCAAAGAAGGGAAACCTGAATGAATGTGATAACTTAAGGGGAGTGACAATTCTTTTTTATACAAGTGAAGGTGTATGCCAAATGCCTCCTGAACCGCATGAGAGATGCAGTAGGCAAAGTCTTCTGGGAGCTGCGAGCAACAAGCTAGCTTTCGCTCAAAGAGATCCTGTGATCGGATCCTGACCTCCAAGGTTGTGTCCTGTCACAGATCCTCTTTCCCGTGGCTATCGACTGGGTACTTGGGAAGCAACAGGAGAAAAGGGCCGGGGGTAAAGTTTGCCGACCTTGACTTTGCAGACGACATAGCGGAAAACGCCAGAGATCTCCAACCCCTAGTGACCAACATAGTCCGTCTGCAGACAGCATTGGGCTCAGCATCAGGGCCATCAATTAACATGCTCCTCTTAGAAGTGTGACCATTGACGAGAACAAATTGAAAGTGGCGGAGAACTTCACCTACCTTGGGAGCTCCACCAACAACAAAGGACAGATGGACAATGAGCTAGACTGTAGACTTGGAAAGGCCTCAGCAGCCTTCAACCAGCTTGGCTTTGAAACCTACTATGTGGAAATCAGCCAAGAAAAGAGACTGGAATCCACTGGATGCTTCTGATAGTGAATGCGTGAGGAAGATCTTAAGAGCGAATGTCTGTAAGGATCAAACAATGGTGGCACCGGTCAAAAAATCGATTTGGCTCATTTTTTGCACAGTAATAGTACTTGGTACATAACCCCTCAGAATAGCTTTCTTTTTGTTCAGAACCCCTTGTTGCCATGGCAACGGGCCAAAGAAGTTTTCAGGGCATTTGTCCAGATTTTGGCATGTACAAAACATAGAAATTGGCTAACTTTAGAGCACTATAACTGATCAGTGCTTTAGCGTAACGACAAGAGCAAGATGTGCTGATCAGAGCAATGCCTAAACTTGTATAAAATAGCAGTAAAGCCAATGTTCAGTAAAATCTGAGGTCTTGGGCACTCTGAATACAATGCACTGTTTTAAGGGTGTAAAAAAACTGAAATTTTGCCCAACTTTGAAGCACTGTAAGTCCCAGAAGGGGAGGATGTTTTGTTTGAAATTTGCACTGCGTAATAAATTACTCCAGAGGTATTAGATGCATGCTTGCAAAGTTTGGGTTCTTGTTTCGTTGCTACGCACTTGTCCTTTAAAGTAGGTCAGTTTTCGTTATTTTGATGATATGTCATTTTGTGCTTTCTTTGAGCTAACATAAGCTCCAAACCAAACTAGTTCTTTACTTGAAATTTACATGAAGTATAAAACAACAAATTGTCTATGAAATGCATGCTTGCAAAGTTTGAGTTCTTGTTTCGTTGCTACGCACTTGTCCTTTAAAGTAGGTCAGTTTTCGTTATTTTGATGATATGTCATTTTGTGCTATCTTTGAACTATCATAAGATCCAAACGAAACTAGTTCTTTACTTGAAATTTACATGAAGTATAAAACAACAAATTGTTTATGAAATGCATGCTTGCAAAGTTTGAGTTCTTGTTTCGTTGCTACGCACTTGTCCTTTAAAGTAGGTCAGTTTTCGTTATTTTGATGATATGTCATTTTGTGCTATCTTTGAACTATCATAAGATCCAAACGAAACTAGTTCTTTACTTGAAATTTACATGAAGTATAAAACAACAAATTGTTTATGAAATGCATGCTTGCAAAGTTTGGGTTCTTGTTTCGTTGCTACGCACTTGTCCTTTAAAGTGGGTCAGTTTTCATTATTTTGATAATATGTCATTTTGAGCTATTTTTGACCTAGCATAAGGTCCAAACCAAACTAGTTATTTACTTGAAAGTTACATAGAATATAAAACTACAAATTGTCTATGAAATGCATGCTTGCAAAGTTTGGTTTCTTGTTTCGTTGCTACGCACTTGTCCTTTAAAGTGGGTCAGTTTTCATTATTTTGATAATATGTCATTTTGTGCTATTTTTAACTGACATAAGTTCCAAACCAAACTAGTTCTGTACTTGAAATTTATTTACAACATAAAACAATATGTACTCTGTAGAATGCGTACTTTCAAAGTCTGGGTTCTTGTTTTG